AGAAGAGAAAAACGTGACTGACTCTTTCAAGAAGAACGACTCTTTTGATAATTACCAAATTTATTAATTCATTGCGGAATGTTTGCTGAATTTTTTTTAACTGAAATGATTTGTTCAATAGAGGCAACTCACTAGTCATCCACTACCACAATGCGAAGTTCGTCCTCAATGAAAATGCGCAAAAAACTGATGGGATGACTAGAATTTCGGGAAATACACAAGATAAGTGAATCTCAAAATAATTATCCTTTGTCACCGAGAAAAACGGTTGCCCCTTTTCATTCAAAAGGGAAATGAATATATGAAACGAGATTAGACGCGATGATTCATTTACCAATCGCCATTACTGACATCGACATCATCGGCAGTTCAATTTTTGAATGTATGTTTTCTTCGATATCTAAGTCAGAGATAACAAACTGATAATATCGTATAAATGAAATGTTTCTTGGAAGATTAGAACAAACGAGCGTGACAGATAACAAGTGAACCGATTCATCGATACAAATACAAATAACAGACGTTATGAAAGATAGTGATGGAATTGGGATGAGGGCAGCAAACTTAAAATATTGTAAGCAGTTTTCTTACCTTATTCGGTGGTGTATTTTCGACATCGTCGGTATCACACGATGAGGCGGCGGCAAACGTTTCAGGTGATTCCGGTCTATCGAACAAGCACGATGGCAAGTGAACCGATTCATCGATACAACACTCGCTGTCATCTTCGTTCGTCATCTTAAAAATTAGCCAAACTCAGTGAAATACATTCCCCGTGGTCACCAACAAGAGCAATCTTATTATNTGATCAACATACATCGTCCAGTTGCAGTGCACGATCGCACTGTTCGGCCACATAGTCGATGTAGTTGTTGTCGTCATCGTAGAATATCGACGAGTCATTACGACCATTTGACGATAGCGTATTTAGGCGATGATGCGGTGGAGGCGTTGGTGTGCCTTCACTCAGCGAGGACAGCGTGGACATCGAGGACGCTCCGCTTGAGAATGGATCCTGATTACATACTGCACTATCGGCCAACTTATAGGCTGGTGGTAGTTGTCCCCTTGCCAATGCAGCACCGTATGATGTGACTTGAGGTTCTTGTTGGTGTGCGGCATGATGATGGTGAAGGAATTGCGCACCACGTGGAAAGTCTGTGCCGTTTAAACAATTCAAGAAGGCAGCGGCTATTGTTGGAACCACTCCTGCCGTAGCGCCGCTAGACGATGAAGATCCTGAGGCTGAGCTCGAACTGGATGTTGACGATGAATTCGGTTGTCTTCGTTTCCAGCCATCCACTGATGGCATCTCGAAGTAATAGCCATCGCTAGCCGGATCATAGTATCTGAAAGTTTGCGAATAGAACATTCTGAATGTTGATAACATCTAGTCATTGAATCTTTTCAACAATCGCCAATAAAAAGTTTATAAAAAACAGCAATATTGGATGGCTTTTTCACATAAATTTTCGAAAAATCGCTTTGTCAAAAAATCGCTTTGCTGCATAAATCTTTTCCACAACTGTTATCGACCGCAGTGATTTATTTCTGTGAATGATTCGAAGATTTCTCTCATCATCAGTGTGCTTGCCACATTGTTCCCAGAAACTCACTTGATTTGTGGACCAGCATAATATGCAGCCGCAGCATTGGCTGTAGTAACTTGTGGTAAGAAACCGTACAGATCGGGTTGTAAGCACGCGAATTGTGATGGATCTCTTAAGAACGTAGCGTACATCTCCTGGAAAATTGCACGAATTATATCTCATTTTTTAAAACATATTAAGCGATTAGTTCGTAAGTATTAGGCGTCAGAAAGTTGAGATGAAATAATAAAATCAATTTACCTGTTCCATACGAGTTCGTTTTTGGGCATTCACAGGCATACGTCTTCGCCAACCTCGTGAGCCCATATTCTCGTAATAGAAGCCATCGCTTGTTGGATCATAGTACCTAAATGCGAAGCGATACATTAAATTGATCACGCATGACATCACTGCTAAGTGTTACAACAATAATTAATAGTATAACTTCAACAGTTAGCAGAAACATCCCCACATCAAAAAAAAACAACACGTTAATTAGGATCATCTGAAGCAAAACTGCGAAATAACGTGCATATAAAAGGCAATAGATGACGAGATAATGTGGAACGATGAGAATTAGAACACAATCGATCAGGTATTTTTCTGTGCTGTTTCAGATGAACACTGCTGATAGGATCTTAGAAATGCTACAGGATCAATAAGTATGATATCAGAACTTACCAATAGTCATCCTTGTTGTAGTCACCTTTTGTTGTTGGTTGCTTCGCATCACGTGTATCCTCTGATTTACCTGAAATGCCAAGCTAATGATTCAGAGGATTCATTCAAAACGCATATTGTTTTGATTCGAAACAACTGTCGAGTTTGATCAAATCAATCATCTAAATCAAAACAGAACAACTGGACGCAATACATAAGGAAGTTCACTTTTCATCTGCACTAACACTGTTTCGCGTAGATGAGCCATTCGCGAAACAATGAAAACGGCTAAATGAAATCGCTGAATTCAAATAAATTTGTGCGGTTGCGTTTTGCAGTGTACAAAAAAGTAAAACGACTGAAAGTTTTGTTCGATTGCAAAAACCGAATATATTTATATATGGACGCGATTGTTGCAAACGTTGCAAAATTGTAGCAAAATTTAAATTTGATACAAAAAATTTTTTGCTAGTCAATAATCATTTTTTGTGTGCGCATTGCACTCATTTACTGATTTCTATTAGAAAGCGAGCGATGCGATGTCATTACGTTTGCTAAATTCAATTACATATTCTTATCTGATGAAGCAACTTTTTCCGTGATTTTTTTGGGGAATCCTTCGCTGTCTTCTATCGCTCTCTATTGCAATTGATAATTTTTGATTTCATGATATGGAAGAATGGAATGAACACAAAAACATAAGTGCACAACGGGTACTTGCTGAATATGCTTTATATATTTGCTATAACTAGATTTTGTTTGGTTTCAAATGAGATCGACCTGTGCGAGCGACTATTTCAAATGAGATAACTAGATTTCAAGCATATCAAAGGAATGTATATGCATCCAAGAGAACATTCCTCATAAATACATAAACAACTCTTATTAAAGAGATTTTGAAAAATAAAGCATTTTGAAAGAAATTTTTCGACGTCTCCAAAGAAGACCCAATAAAAAACTCTTCCATCGGTTAAAACCACCACTATACACATGCATGTACTATTCGCTTAAACGTTACACTATCAAAATGGTTCGTTAATATTGCAAAATTACTTGTTCATCAGCTAAATGATGATGTTAAAAATAGAATTTGAAATCTGAAACTAACAAAATGTTGAAACTGAAACAAAATTCTGCAAAACTTTCAAATGCCCACGTAATTTAACACTGCAACAAGTTCCCTTCATTAATCATCCGATATGGCAAGGATGCAATCGTTTTTTTGCAAATGCATAAAAATGCTCTCTTATCTTTTTGCAAACAAAAAATTCTTGTCCAAATAATACATTTTGCACGTTTAATTTCATTAATTGTAAGATAACGAAGCTGAACACCAATTAAACTGAAACGCTAAACGCCTCTGTAAAATTCTTTCGAAAAAGAATGATTAATATTCAAAAAGCTGCCTGCTTCCGTCTTTTCTTTTCAATGAATTGCTATCGGTGATGCTTATTTTTCTAATTAGTTGACAGATATTCTTTGGCATGTGGCATGTTCCAGCTTGAGANGATGATAATGAGGAGATGTGAAAATTAATCACTTATTGTTAGAGTATATGCGAAAACATGATATGCCGTGTAATTCGCTTATGATGGATACTCATCCTTAAGATCAACAATTGATCAGTTCCTTATGCATTCAGTCGCACTAAGTCATTGGCTTTATCCGTATAGATTGCTTACGCGAATGTGAATGATGTAGCCGAACTAATTCGGAATTGATAAAAACCTCACGTTATTTTTTAAAAGCATTTTCAGTGAAACTACAATAACAACTACGGATTAATAGAATGCAATAACAACTCACTGTTGGTATTGTTCGTTGAGTCAGCGTTATTATTAGCACTATTGACATCGTTGTATGATGATGACTTGGACTCGAGTGATTTCTTTTGTGGTCGTTGCCGTGTACGTTTGCCACGTTTACGTTCATCGAGATGTGTGATTGCTTTTGGTGATGGATTGTCATTGTTCGTCGTTGAATTATTATTATTTGTATTGACAGATGTGCGATGATGACGATTACTGAGCATTTTATCAGTAGTCTCTTTCATACCTGTTGCATCCGACGATAAATCTACTGCAGACGACGGACTTGTTTTGGATTCTGAAATTGATACGAAACTTAGTAAAAAAATGATGCATGAACATCGCACTTTCGCTAATCAACGAAGAAGCTATGAGCGATTCAGCGAACAATCAATCTGATGATGGTTTGCAAATAACAATCGCCTGAGATATCATAGCACAGATCCTGTTCTATCAGACANATCAGACATATCCACTGCATCATATAAATAGCAATAGATAATTTCAGGAGTTTAGATGGAATAAAGCTGTGAGTTTAATGAAGAAATAAATGGTGAGAAGAGGATAGAGATATGGGAAGTATAAAAAATGATATGGGAATATATGAAGTAGATCAAGTGAATGATCGAGTTGAAACATTAATGGATCAATCAAGTAATGCAGTTTGGTATTATAACGAACAGATAAACAAATGGATTAATATCATTGATCAAGGCTTCGCTCAATGGAAATCCGGGAGAGCTTTCATTTCTGATCCGAAATCGTTGGAGTGTGGAGTTGAAGGGGCGATATGGGAGGACAGGGTTAATCGCTATCGTAACGGCCGAAAATGGGGGATGCGGTGATGCGGTTAGATGGCAAAATTGGAACAAGATGTTGGTCAGTGACCAAATTGCCTGACAAGGAGAGAGAAGTTTTTCAGCTGAAGTGGTCCGAAGACGACAGAACATTGGAGTGCTCGATGATCGCTCGCTCGAAAGGTTAGAAAAAGGACAACATCGGGAAAAAACCAAATGAAATTACGAGCGAACATGACTGATGCACTGTTAAACGAACACGAAACAAATCACACCCAATCATTTCTTTCTAATTGTATGATGAAGAATTAAGATAGTGAAATGATCGCATGAAAATTACACGTTGAAATATGCGAACGCACGCTTTTTGCCAACAAATAATGTATTCCGTTCCGAGAGGGCATCAGACGGCGGTCGTCTGCCTCTCAATTAATCACAACCACTTTCTCAGCGCTCACAATGTAATTAACAAAACTCATTGATCGAAAGCGATATCAGTAGAAATCTCAGCCTAATTGTTAGTAATCAGTAATTGATAAGAACAAGAGAACAAAGCGCAACGCCCTCGTTAGAATGATGATATGAAAGTGCTCAGCTTACATTACGAAGCAACAAAAACAACCAGATAACACTGAATCATTCATAACAATATTCTACTTTATAAACACTGTTTCGACGATAAACCAACGATAATGATTACAAATGTAATCAAAGAACAATTTTTTCGTTTCCACGCAAACAATAAACACAAGATGAAATATGAATAATATACAATTTTTGATTCGTTCGAAATCAAGAAAACATCAGAGAGTGTTGTTTTGTCATTCCATCATCGCATTCTGTAGCGATTTGTCATCATTTCTTATCGCTCGCTGTTCATCCATTCGGTCTAGTCAAGACTGACAGATTGATTGAAAAGCACTTTCAAGACGAAACTGACGCTTTGAACAATTTTTTTTCAGTGCCCAATTTTGTTTTTGTTTTTTTGTTGGCTGAATAGAAGGCTTTCAACTGTTCAGTAACGACTAGTCGTAGTGAAATGTGAATGTGAAGTTGTATAATTTCAGAGAAATGACACAATGAACCAAATGAAATGTGAACGAGAAAAGTTTACGAGTTTTTTCAATTTTCAATTGTTCACTGAAAATTCATGAATCGCACAAAGATGATATCATAAATGAAAAAAACCCAAATCTTCCTCGTCTAGTCGCTAGCGAACACATTTTCAAATGCGAATGCGATTTAATACTGTCGTCTTTCATCAATAACGCAAATAAAGAATTCAACTTCAACGAATTCGCATCAAAAATCGCATCAAATAAGCGTTCATAAACATAATATCTCAAAAAGTTACCGACGAACTGCGGCGACCGATAAGCAAACTAAGAAGAAATCAATGATAATCGCTAATAGTAAGTGAAAGCTATGTATGCCTCTTGCAATTTAAGTTGCAGATTTGAACACTTAAAATTTTCAGTTTTGCAAACAGAAGAACAGTTTTTTTCCGGTTTCGGTTCATTCGAAATTTTAAGTTTCTCGCCGAAAACGGCGAATGATATGGAGAATTCGAGAAATTAACAAAACCTTAAGAACAAGTGAGCTCTTTCATTGCATTGTTGGCTTTTGACTAAATAAAGTGACCAACCATCTAATGAAGGCAAGGAAGGGACAACAAAACTACATCAAATATTAAGAAGTGAACTGTAGATGACTGGCGTAGAAGGAGGATTGTGATGAGCCGAACGAAAGTCGAGATGTTGAACAATTGAGAGAGGAGCTTAAGAGAAGCACTTCCAGTTCACAAGATAATTGTTGGATGAATCATAAAATTTCGAGATCAGCCGAGCAATAACTTCACTCCGCTAACACCGAAGTGTTTCCAGAGAATCAATTCTCTGCCGACTGNAACAACAACAACAACAGAAATGATGTGATTAATGACCTTATGGGCGAGCATGATTACTTAAGCAAGAGATTTAAGCATGATCTCGCTGATGACGTTATCAATGACTACTGATATTTGGTAATGGATTGTATTTACAGCTGATTGAATGAATAATATGATAACATCTGAGTCAATATGAATGTTTATGAAAGGGCAGTGAAACATGATCGATATGAACATGGAGAGATAACAGGAGAT